TTCAAAAATATAAGAAGCTGGATATGTTTGTCCATCTACTCTATTGTCTACAGTGATATCGTCGACAGCTTGTTCAAGACCTAGCAACATTTCCTTAAGCAATGCTAAATCTTCAATAGTAAAATCTTTAGTTTCATCTTCCATGTCCTGTCCATCTCCGTTACTAAACGCTTTCATTATATGAGTAACGTCATCAATTGATTGTGCAATATCGGATGAACGTATTTGCACTGAAGCAGACTCCTCGCAGATCTTTTCAATGTTATGTGCTTCATCCAATATGATTATTGTATTCTTTAGTTCAATTTTATTTGCTTTTCTTGCTTTAGGGTCTAACAAATAATTATATGGCATGAATGTTATGTCCGCATCATCTACTAACTCTTTCGATGCGTAGTAGGGACAAATTTTAAGCTTTTGCCCAACTTTTACTAAATCTTCTATGTCCATAATGGTGGGACCACGCAAATCCGGATGATCCTTTTTCGAGTCTACTCGTGTATGAAATGAACATGTTTTAGTTTGTACGCGTAACTTACACATTTGTACTTTATTTGAATTCCCTTGCTCTCTCATTACCTCTGGGTGTATGCAGAGCTGATCCCTCGAACCAAGTACTACGGCCCGCATAAATGAATAAGCAGTGCGTTTTAACTCCTGCATTGCCTGTGTCAACTGCGAGTGTGTGCGTGAAGCATATATAATCTTTGGGACGCCCCAGTTACCTTTTTTGGAAGCATTCGAACTGCCACCCATAAAGGACACAGCTATTTCATTATTCACATTTTTAAAATTTGGTTCTTTACATTGCTTTATTAATTCATGCTTTAAATCATTTTTTCGTGATAATATCCATGCCAGGCTTGAGCACAGCAAACTTAACGTTTTTCCTGTACCCGTCGGAGACTCCAAAACACCGTTTGTGCCATCCTTTAAACAAATAATAACTTTTTCCATATAAGCTTTCTGCACATCGTACGGCTCAAACGGAAAATTGACAGAAACATCACCAATCATGTACTCCGGCATTGTTCAATGTTCATTAATTTTTTTAATATTTAATAAAAGTCATTAAATAGAATAAATATTATTTATCACAAAGACGTTTTGGCGGGATCTGTACAATATTTATATTTGATGTTTTCTGAACATATGATTTTTGCTTCTCTTACAGGGTACATCAACTATGATATATTATGTATTTAATATAAATGCATTCTTTTGATATAAAATTAATATTATATTAGTAATATTTATGTTAATATGTCATAGGAAAAATCATACTGATTTTATAAGTAAAATTTAAAGTGCTGGAACCTAAAATTTCTGTATTCGAAAAAATCTTATTAATATAATGTCAAGCTCAATCATGACAAAAATTCATTTGTGTTTGTAAAAAGTGCACACAAATAGTTATATGGTTAATTAATAAATAATAAAGGATAAATCATAAAATAAAAAATAAAACATTTTAACTTCTTATCTATTATCTAAAGCATATCATTTTTATTAATCCATCAATCACCTACGTTAAGGTGCATTCACACTAAAGCAATCACTTGCGAACGAGTGAACATTCGCAGGTAATCCCTGGTGTGGATGTATCTTAAAATGCTGTAAGTGCGATATGTCTATTTTTACACATGAAAACTGTTCGTAAGGAATATTCTAAATAATATTTGGTGTATTTGAAAATTTTTATCATTAATATTGATTCTTAAATTTTAATAATATATATGAATAGATTTTTTATTGAAAGCGTGTATAAGCAAGGTATCAGTACATATACAAGACTCGATTGATGACTCGACCAAGGACGTTTGCAGAAAAAGTGGACAAATTTGTGTTGTAAGCATAATAACAGCAGTTGACTCTGTTAATAATAATATAATAAATAATAATACATAAAAGATAAGCAACCCTTTAATACAAACGTACGACAGCTTACAACTTCTAATGACATATTGTGAGGAGTACTATTCAAATACTTGAATTAACAGTTCAATCAATGTAAGCAACATTAAGCTATAGTTTCTGACATCAGTAACTAACAATTATTACTGCAGTTCTAATATATAGGCTACAGTAATCAGCGACTTTTGCTCAATCATACGCAGTACTACAGAAATCCATTTGCTTAATAGTGCGTTGAACAGTGATTGTAAGTGATTATAAGATTTATTTAATTGAACATTATTCGTACTATTAAATAATCAATAAACAATTTTTTTTCTTTAATCATTTTCATATCAATAAATTGAATAGAAAATGTGAAACAGAATCTTTGGAAATAATTAGTTGTTAGTAAACTCTTTGATCAACTGTCATACGAGAAATACAATATATGTTATTGTACATATATGTACTTTATAGATCTTGTACTTGTAGCAAAGCTGAGTAAACATTATCTCATTCTTTATTAATAGATGTGTAATATAGTGGTGCTATTCATTTTTAAAATATTTTGTAAATACTGAATAATAACATTACTTGACATTACTCACAGTCTACCAACCTAAAACACAATTACTGTGTAAGTCTATAATATAATAACTATGTACGTTTAAATCATGCAAAGAAATTACAAGTATTATATGCCAGTTTATAAAGTGCAATTTTATGATTTTATAAAAATAGACATAAAATAATTTTCATTCGTGTATATTTCATATGCTACAAAAATGTTTTCACTGACTTAATAAGATATTTCTCCCACATATACGGTAACCATTAGGCCTAAGTGGATCTACTAGAGATCACCGGTATAACCTAACCTAACCTAGTAAGATATTAGTGGAATATACAATCTTGAACAACGAGCTCGATAACCGAGTAAAACAAAATATATTTAGCGGGTATGTATATTATTGTTACCATATACTCGGATACTAAGATATTCGGATAGTAAAAGAATTAATAAAACCGTCGTCAGAATCGTAAAAGAATAAGAATGATTAATTTGTGTATTATTTTATTTTATTTTAAATGCTATATATAAAGATAATACGGTATATTAGAGCTTGCACCTCAACCATCGGAAATATCTAATTTCAAGCCGCACTGCTAAAAATTATATGTGATTAATATTTAGACTTAGACAAAATTTTTACGTCCGAATGCGTTATTTTCGATTTTGTGTGAAAATAAAAATTCGTTTAGATTAGTCAAAATGTGAAAGTGTAAGCAAAATTTTTGCTATAGTTTAGTCAATGCAGCCACAGTGTAAGAACAAATTTATCACACTCACAATACCCATATAAATATGACATCAAACTACAAAATTTTGTATTGTACCATTTAATGTCAAAATTTTAAGATGTATTTTTTAATTATTTTACATTGAAATTATAACAAGGTTTTTATTTGCATTAATTTAAATAACAATTACTTTTTTAACTCTGATAAGGTATAATAAAATATTTGAATTTATTTTTCTGACAAAAATATATCCACACAATTTACGTATACAGTGCGCATATTTTGCTGGAAAGTAAATAATGCAAGGAAACTGATAAAAACGAGATACAACATTTTTTCATTAGTTTGATTATTCAGTTCGTTGTTCGTCTTTGTAGTGTGCGGTTGTGTCTTTAATAATATTGAGTCGTAGAAGAAGAGTGGAACCAGAAAATAAAACAAATTACTCGCGCTCCGGTGGTGATAAATTTTGTAGTAAGCAAAATCAAAGAATCGAGCATACAAAAAGAAAAACAACAACAAGGTTTGTATTCTTCGCTCTCTTCTGTGTGTTCCCCGCTCTCTTCATACTATTTAAGTTGTATTGTTGTTGGAGTTGTGTATTTGCTTGCCCCCACTTCTGCATGACAGAAATTTTTTAACGCCTCTTTAGCACTGTGTAGTGTTGTCATATGGAAAGCCTAGAGAAGTTTTTTTGCCATCAGCACAAACGAATCAGTGATATACAAGTTTAAAAAAAATTTAAAGCAAACAAAATCTATTATTTTAAAATAATACACGGCTGCTGTTACAATTGAAGTATGATTTTTTAACAAATACTTTGAACTTCACTTCAACTCCAAACAGTAAAGGGTTTGTTTACATTTCGTGCTTATATCAAAAAATGTGATTTGTGTTAAATTACAGCACTGTAAACATGAGTGCAAAAATTAAAAGCGGTGTGATGCAGTTAAGCTTCACGGCAATTTGAATGTGTAACTTTTAAATATTTAAATCGGGAACGTTATCCTGCTATACTAATGTGCGTTGACATTTCACGTCGCCTGTAGCTTTGCGTCTTGCATTCTCATTTTCAAATGCAATCTTCTGTCAAATAATACATTGGTAGCCAATGGGTCATCTCGCTTCCACGCACGTGAAATGTGTTCTCCTATAATTCTAAAGAAGAGCTGCCAACAGCTCTAAAAGTAATAGATATATATAATTAACGAAATGTGAACTCATAGGGTTCAATTAAGATTATGATCATATAAAAATAATCAAATCATAATTTAATGAATTACTATTCACTGATTAGAAATTACTGTATCCCTAAGTTTGTGACTAATTGTTTTGTTTGTATATTAATGGAAATACCAACAATTCTAAGCTATACTGAGTTGGTTGGTAATGGTTATACTTAAAGACAACATTTGTGTATATAATTCAGTGTAAAATTATTAATGTAGTGATATATGTTACGTCATTAACGAAAATTTACTTTGTATAGCATAGTTTAAATATAGATTGCAGTAAGCTTTAATTACATGTAGTATAGGTAATTATTCTGTTAATAGTCCGAAAATAAGAATTAAGCACTTAAATATGGCTTATGTTTTTAATTAAATACTTAATATATATATAAAAGTTTATGATGTGATATACATTTTGATACATAAGCAAGTCTTTAAAAGAATATGCAATGATGGCAACTCTAAACAACATATGTAACTGTGCTTTCAATTGGTTTCTTCTCTCAATTGTTAGCTATTTACTCTCGTGAAAATTGTACTTGTCAAAAACTGAAGTAGAAAAATTATCATTTGAAATTTGTGTCATTTGTTGACTGACGGCCAGGCCAAGGTATAGGGAAAGCTTAGGTGGACAAGATGCAGTAGTAGAACAGTATTAGTTGTAAAAAATTTGATAAGAAAAACTAATTATTAATTATCACTTCAGTTGATATGAATTCTAAATTAAAAACTTTTGAAGCGAATGTGTTTTATCAAATTTGGATGCTGGAGAGATGATATATGAAGTTGCGTACCTACGTACCTATTCTCCAATAGTGTTCAGAACTCTGCTACTTTCGGTCAATTTAACACACTAGTGTTCTAACGAACTTAAAAATACCTTGAAGTATTTGCTACGTCATAAAAATAAACAATAAAAAATCAAATGTGTACAGTTTATATGCGGAGGTTGTGACGATTGCTGTTCTGTTCAAATCAACAGGCGGATTTCAGATTCAGATGAAATTTCTGAATTTCAGATTTCAGAAAAAAGGAGTGCTTTGTAGTGATCATTTAAAACCGTGCTAATTTCTCAAAGTTCAACATTATCTGATTTGTGAATTGAAGAATTAAATTCAATTAATTTTTAAATTATTTTTTAAAAAGTTTTGTGTTATGTTATCAAATATATCACGTCGTTATTAATACGTTCAGCTCTTATATCGGTTGTTGGACCGGTAAGTGATAATAAATAAAGTATAAATACTGGAAGTATTCACCCAAAAGTTATATTTCGCAGGATTTGACTCAAATGATTAATATTTATTTATTGTTAATTAAATTTAAAAAGTAATTTCTTTCAGTAAATATAGATAACTATTTACTGCAGATCTCCTCACCAACTCCTTTTTACCCATTTATATTTAACTAATCAAGGTAATTTCAAGACTTAAAAATCCTTTTCTTTTATTTATACATTTGCAGATTATTTTGGCAGTTTTTTTTCCGATGACAACAGAAGTAACTCAAATGTTTCATTTAATAGGCACAGTAAAACATAAAATTATATAAAATTAAATTAATTCAAACAAAAGAAAAGAAAAAAAAACATTTACTAATCGAAATCACATAAAATCTGTGATATACTCCCGGTGGTATTGTTTGGGAGCAATGACAATTATACTATTTTTGGTCGACACCTCGGCATCGATGTGCCAACGAGCTTATATTAATGGCGTACAGAAGTCGTACTTGGATATTGCGAAGAGCGCAGTGGAAACGTTTTTGAAATACAGGCAGCGTACACAAGATTGTCTAGGAGACCGATACATGCTGTTGACTTTTGAGGAACCACCATCTAATGTGAAAGCAGGTTGGAAAGAGAACCATGCAACGTTTATGAATGAATTAAAGAATCTTCAGAGTACAGGCCTTACCTCAATGGGGGAATCTTTGAAAAACGCGTTTGATTTACTTAATCTAAATCGCATGCAATCAGGAATAGACACTTATGGTCAGGGTAGATGTCCTTTTTATTTGGAACCTTCAGTAATAATTGTAATAACTGATGGAGGAAGATATTCATATAGAAATGGTGTGCACCAAGAAATTATTTTGCCTCTTAACACTCAGATCCCTGGTACCAAATTTACTAAGGAGCCATTTCGTTGGGATCAACGTTTATTTTCGTTAGTTTTGCGCATGCCAGGAAACAGAATAGACGAACGTGTAGAGAGTAAAGTTCAGCATGATGATTCGCCTATAGAACGTATGTGCGAGGTTACAGGTGGTCGTTCTTATCGCATACGGTCGCAATTTGTATTAAATCAGTGCATTGAGAGCCTAGTGGCGAAAGTTCAACCTGGTGTTGTATTACAATTTGAACCCATGTTACCAAAAGAAAGTATTTTGAATGAGGCATTGCAAGATATTGTATTTCCACCCGTGAAGAAAATGATATTAGTGCATAAGCATGTGGCGCAAAAAGCGTTCCCAATCGGTTATTGGCCACTGCCGGAACCATATTGGCCCGACTCAAAAGCTGTTACGCTTCCACCTCGTGATGCACACCCCAAGCTCAAAGTAGTAACACCAGGTATTGAAGAGCCTCAAATGGTACGCAATTTTCCAGTAGATAAATACGAAATTGAAGCTAGTCCTCTTACAATGCAAATTTTACAAAAACGAGATCCGAACAAATGCTGGCAAGTTATTATATCGAATGGGATGCATGGGTTTGAGTTACCGTTCGGATATTTAAAAGCAGCACCAAATTTTAATGGTGTGCATTTGTATGTTTTAGCTTATAACTATCCCGCGCTGCTACCTCTTCTACATGATCTAATACATAAATATAATATGAGCCCGCCAAACGATCTCATGTACAAATTCAACTCATACGTTCGTTCAATTCCGCCGTATTATTGTCCTTTTCTACGTAAAGCTTTGATGAATATTAGTGTTCCATATCCCTTAATCCAGTTCTTTCTGCCAGAAAATGTTGATAACTATTTATCACCAAACATAGCTAACCAATTGAAGCACATCAAGAACACAGCAAAGCAGGAACAGGAAAATCTATGCATGAAAGTGTATAAACAATTAAAGCAACCAAAACCGCCTTATCGTCAATTGGAAACAGCAAAATTAAACACTGGAGTACAACTCCGGCGAGATCTCGTACGACATCCAGGCTTAAGAGAAACTTTTGCTAAGATGCATGCAGATATAGAATTTTTTGAATATCCCACTTTGTTGGTACCACAACTCACACGCATGCCATCTGCTAAATCATATCGAAATCCTTTTGATATACCTCGACGCGATTTAATTGAGGATATTGGACGAATGCGAGAAACGCTAATGCGGCCCACACCAACAAGCTTAGTAGCTAAGGATTCAGGCCATTGTTTACCAATTGCTGAAATGGGCAATTACCAAGAATATTTGAAAAATAAAGATAATCCACTGCGTGAAATTGAACCAACTAATGTAAGGCAGCATATGTTTGGTAATCCCTATAAGAAAGATAAGCACATGGTTATGGTAGATGAAGCTGATTTGGGTGAAGTGGCGCCAATAAAAACAAACAATGGAGCAGGTGGTCCGGGTCCGTCTGGTAGTATGCCTGGAATTGGTCCCAAAAAAATAGATGGTGCAAGAGCACGTAAACGTAAAGCAGGCCCCATACGTAAGGATTTTGTGTTCCGACGTACTTCAACCGACTCTCGGCCTAATACGCCTAGTTCAAGCATATCATTAGCAGGTTCTTCTGTTGCTTCGATGTCAGATTTCGATGATGAAAGCATGTCGGACACTTCTTCGATTTCCTCCGGTTTACCAGATGACGTTGAACAAGTGGGCTTTGATTTCAATGAAGAGGAGCCAGCCGATCCAGATTTCCCCCTGAATGGATTTGTTCGAAACTTTATCAACGGCATTAATGATGATGTAAACTGTGATAATGAAATTGGTGCTCCAACAGCAATAGGCATTGCTCTAAATAATAGCAGTAGCAGTAGTAGCAGTTATACAGCGCATATTAATAACTTAGTTAATTCAACATCATTAGCACTTAATAATAATAATGGAATACCAATTCTGCATGCTCCGACATCAAATTTATTAATAAATCCATATTTGAATACTTATGGTCAGCAAACTCTTGTCGCCGAACCGACGATACATACGGGAGTGGTACCGACACCTTCTGCAATAGGCACAGCAATCCCACTTGGGCTACATCAAGTTAATGGTAATGGTACAACATTCAATAACGTAACTTCTATTCCACAGGCATCGCCGGCACCTATTATTCCAGCACCTATAACGACACCAGTTACGTTTTATCCACATAACGATATAAATGACGCGCAAGAAATTTCACGTATACTGCAACAGTGCCATAATGGCAGTCCAAGTATATCATCTACAGTCAATTCTAATACAGATCAGATAACGTCTACGGTGTTCAAAAAAGAAATTAAAAAAGATATAGACGAAACGCTGATGCCACCTCCCGCAGCGACAGTAACCAATACTACAACGCATTTAAAAAGCTTTGATAGCCTTAAGCGAGAGCCCGTATCGATAACAACAAGTAATTCAAATTCAAATTCAAATTCAAACCATATAACAAATAACAACCACAACACAAAGCGTAGAAAGTCCCGTTCCATCTCTCCTGCTACTCCGCAACAATTATTCACAGTCGAAGATCGAGAAATTGCGCGGAAGCATAACATTGAAGTACGTACACAGGTGTTTAGTGATATTCGCAGACCCGGGCGTAACTATGCACAACTCATAGAACATCTTAATCTTGTCAAGGGTGACAACGATATGAAATCAAACTTTGTGCAAATGTGCATCAGCGAGTCATTACGGTTTAGGAGAAGACAAATGGTCAACTGCATAAAAGATTGGTGGGACAAAAACCAAAAACAATGTCAGTCAAAAAGTTAACAGCTACCCTGCGGGAATTAGGCTAAAGCTTCGTATTAGAAATACGTAATTTCCAACAATGCCCGACACGTTCACAGTTAGATCTCCTCTTTACATTGACTACACGTCACTGGAAGAACACACATTGATAGAATGTTTTAATCAGAGACTAGAACACAGACTACACGTGGTTGCTTGCTTTATTTTTTTCTTTTTGTTTTTGGTACCAATCATTTCTGTTCCACCATTGAACTTCACATACCAAAATTATTGCTTGTTTGTTTGTTTATGTTCTCACAAACCGATCATACGCTCCCATATCAGACCAGACCAGACCACTCGAACGTAACGTCAGACTGATAACTAATAAACCAACACAGAGCACACACACACAGTTCATTCATATCCTCAACGGCTTCGTATTTCGGTAGGATTTGATTTCTTAATTTAAACGGTTCCTTTTGATTCATATTTTTTGTTATCAATGGCGATGTTTCGGTTCTATGCCGGGTATTAAGTTAAGCACAAGATTGACTCGCTCGCTTCTTTCTAATAAACTTGTAAATAACATAAATAAGAATAAGTAATGTTTTAGATATTTTAAAAATATTTAATCCTTAAAGTATTTTTATCAAAATTTTTAGTAAGTGTAAAAAAATGTAGAAATAAATGATAGCATAAAATAATTAAATTTTAATTAAATATTTTGTAAAATCCTTAAAAAATGATTTTTCCAATTAAATTAATTGTTTTGTTGTGTTGAAAGTAATTTATAAGAAATTTTTGAATATTTTTACTTTAAAAAACATGCGTTATTTTTTATTTTTATAAAGAAAGTTAATTAAATTACTTTTATACTAAATGAAAATGAAAGTTAAATGCAAATATAGAAAAATATATTGAACTTTAAGTAATACATTTTGCTCAAACGGGCTAAAATGTTTTATTGGGGATTAGATATAGATATGATCCGAATTCTCTGGAATAGACTTAATTTTAGAAAAAAGAAATATTGTATTTTATTTTCAAATTAGAGAGCACCTTCTCCATCTAATGGAGTACTATTTGGTTTCTATACAGTATTTTAAATGTCACGGTACATAAATCACATTAGGGTTTCGTTTTGTAATTCCAGCTTTTCTAATAAAAGATTCTTTTCAAAGTTGCCAATTTTATTCGCAACAAATATTTGCTTGGTTCAAGCAAACCTTTTTGATTTGATACAAAACTTCAAATGCTTTACTAAACAAATTACTTCGAAATTATAAATAAACTTAAATGCTTACATATTTTATTGTATAATAAATAAATAATACAACATTTTAAATTTTTATAAGGAAACATAGCATTGTTTTAGATTTAAATTTATTCTATTTTGTGGTTTTCTCTTCTATTATATTGCACGTCAACTGTTATACGCTGCGTTGTACTTTGCTAAATTTGCGCGAGAATTTGAAAGCCATCTCATACTTGTATGGTTTGTGTGCTTGATAGAATTTCAAAGCATTTCCCCTTCAGAGACCGTTTTACAATATCGTATACGATCTTTGGTATAATAACCACTTCTTACAGCTTAGATCTTAGGTGTTAGATGTCAAATATCAAATATCAATCTATAATCTTTAGCTATCTTAACAGTTATCACAGCAGAGAATGAATCTTGCTGTGTATAGTGTTTATAACACTTTCACAATATGAAATTCTATCCCTGGGATGCCCATCCATACATGTATAATAATGATAATAATGAACAGGTAAGTAATGCCCCACACCTTCTGTTGGACAATTTCTTTTCTGTTTTTTAACTTCATTTATTAATATTTCATATTATCGCTATTTAAAGCGAATAAATAAACTATCTTTAACAAAAAATAATCGTGCTCATTTATTTATTTCGTTTGGTAGCAGCTACTGCACTTAAAGAAATATATTTTTAAGGATTACTGCAAGGTCTAGTATATGAAATGTTAATTAAAATAATCAATGATACCAAGATCCTTAAACATAACTGTAGATAACATACAAATTTAATAAGCTCTGGCCTCTAGGACTCTACTTCTGACTGAAGTAGCAGAATATAGTAATACTAGGCAGTTAAAGGGAGGATGGAGAAAATTCCAAATTGTTGAGGAGTCCTTTTAAACTCCATTGGTGTTACTTTGGTTTTGCTAGTAATTTACTTATAGATAATTGTGTTATATGTGAATAAGGACTGGGAGAGAGGTTATGAAAAAAACAGATGCGCATTTTCATATGTCCATCATCGTAGCAGGACCATAAGCTTTAAGTAGATTTCAATTTTTTTCTGCTTTATCTTTTCCAACCTAATCTGATTCTAAGCAAATAGATAAATGACGTCTATAATTATCCTAACAATAATTAACGTTCACATTTTACCTTATTTGATGTATTCAAACTATAATATTTTTCTATAATGTGACAGTATGATACTCTATAGAATAACTAGTGGTTCTATATACATTAGAATACAGCACTCAGATCATTTTAACTTCATTAGCGTTTTTAAAGCTAATCACGAGTTTTGGCAAGATTCATTTTCTAATCTATGTGTTTATATGTCGATGTTATTACTTTAATCTGTGTTGCTTGCTTTTACAGGTCAAAATTCTTTTTCTATTCTGTATTAACTCCCATATTTTGTGTAACAGCCATACCAAATGGACTTCAACAATTTATGTATTACTATTCTTTTAAAATAAATGAAACATCTACCTTGTGAATAAGGTTAAGATCAATTGCTTTATCCCTTTTAACAGTACCAATTGTCAAGTTACTGACAAATAGACAAACCAAATTTGCAGGATTATAGTAGTATAGTTAGTATATTGGATTGTGCCACTTTCAGGTTAACTGTGTCTAAGCAAAAATTTTGGACACATAATCTTACCAGCTTTGAAATATTAATTATTAATCAATTATTTCGTTGAAGGGCAGTTCTGGAAAGAATCAAGCAAATGATTACCACAACAGAGATGTTAATGAGAACAATTCCTTGGTTCTTGAACTAACTATTCTTACTAACTATTATTGTAAAATCAAATCCAAGTAAGTTGAAAGTTTTTCTTCAAAAAAAAAATTTACTATTAAGTGAATCTTCCAGTTGCACCGAAATTTTTATTGCCTCTTGGCCGTAAATGCTCAAAAAAAATGGAATCTTTGTTATAAAAAATAAAAATCAAGTAAATGACTAACACTGAAATTATTTAAAATATGAAAAATATATATTTTGGCAAATTCTGTACGAAATAAATGTCATCAACAATTTTCCACCCACACCACACAGCAAAAAACACAAAATTCGAATTTCTGCTTAACTCGCAGTGATTTTGATTGATTTGTTGAGGAGAAAGCAAATATAACAATTATATTATATTTTTTTATTTTTTTACTTATTAGCAAGAAATACATTTTTTTATAAAATTAAATTAGATATTTTTGATTAAATCTCTTGAGTCTGAGTCTCCATAGTCGCGCTGTGGTGGATCGAACGGCTGTTCTAGAAGAATTTATAATTCGCCTCGTTTCCACAACCAAATACGATTTGTTGTCGTGATGTAAAAATGTGAGGGGCACCGCACTCTTCTTCTTGAATCACATTTTATTATTGTTCAATATAAAAATATTCTTATGACTACGACTGCGTATTTTTTATGGCAATATTTTAATTATTTATAAAATAATTTCCACTAAACAAAAACTTTTTTGTCATTCTTATTCATAAAAATACTTTATGCGTATATAGTTTTTATTTTATTTGATGTATTATAAAAAAATATGTAGGTTGCTCTATTTCTAATTATAGAATCATTCAAACCTGACAGACAGTTTGATCTCGCCAACTTATTTGCTGTTACACATGTGACGTCATTGTTTCGTGATAAATATTATAGTTGCTGCTGTCGCCGCTGCTACCTACAATAAAATATTGTTCAGTCTGTTTATTTCTCATCAATAAAATATTTAAATGTAATATTTGTTTATAAGCGAAAAGTTGCCATACACCATATAAAATATATTACCTTATCATCCCATTTCGGGTTGATTACCGGTTACTCCTACACGCTGACAATTCTTTTTTTATTATTTTTAATATACACAACACTGTTTTTGAGCGTTAATATTTTCAATAATTGAGTGGAAGAGAACACAAAGTAGAATTCTGAGTGAAGTTGGGTTTCCTCATACCCTTCACACAAATATGATAGAAACATTTTTGCCTTGATGCGTATTTAGTTTCTCGAGATACTTGTAGTTCAGTGAAGTAGATATCGAAGATCAACTGTAAAATATATATTTTATTAATAACAACGATGAGATGAATCGATTTGTCGATCCAAGTATGTTGGCTTGTTGTTATATCTGATTCAATACAAAATAATCTCTGAATTTACTAGAAAGAAATACAATTTTCTTATGAAATTTTTCTTGAAAATCTTGAATATGGCTGTCGCATTTAAATGTTCTGCAAATATTCAATTCTGCAAATATTCGTTGTTTAATCTGTTAAGTAAGCGTTATTTAAATATATATTATCATATATTTAAGTAAAATAAATACAAAATTTTATTACAGAAAATAATTTAATGTTGAGTAAGTATTACTTAATATGTCATATGTTTATTTCGACAGAGAAATATTAAATATATATATGGTATTATGTATTGTATGTATAGAGCACAAACGGCGTGACCATAAGTGTCTGTATAACATGATCCATAATGAAGGCTTGCCAAAAATATGGAAAATATTTCTCAGTGCAGATAATATATATAATCATATATATATATATATATATATATATACATATATATTTATTTATATATTTAAATATATATTAAACACAAAATTTTATTAATGATAAATAATAATAATGTTGAAAGTACTTAACCGATTTCAATTTGTTGCAATAAACGCTATTTAAATAAAGATAAAAATCTTTTAGCTTTAAACAAATATGAAGTACCGCCAGTTGCGCATATAACAGCAATAAAAATAAACGAGTAAAAATTATATAAAAACCAGTAAAAAGTAAATATTTAAAAAAGCGATACCGTAATCCATGGAAAGCTTTTTCCTTATTTTGCTTACTGGGTTCAAATGCAATTCACTCAATTAATTTGTGCTCGGTGTTCTGTGATATGAAAAAAGAGGATGAAGAAAAACACTCGTGTATTTTAGAATGAATTTATATACGTTTTACAACACTGTTTTGCACACAATTTCACTTTTGGCTTAATAAAAGCACTGGTCTTGAGTGAAACGAAAGATATTTTTAATTTAAACGTCAGAAAGATAAGACATTTGCGGAGTACCGGAACATAGTGAAATATACTTTGTTTTTGTGAAAAGTGAAAAATTTTCTAAACGTTTTTGACATATTCAAATAAAATAGTCAATTAAATACAAAATGGAATCTAACAAAAGAAATATCCCAATTAAATTAGGCGATTTCAGTGTAATCGACACAGAATTCTCAAGTATCAGGGAGCGTTTCGATTCTGAAATGCGTAAAATGGAAGAGGAAATGGCTAAATTTCGCCATGAATTGATGAACCGTGAAGCTAACTTCTTTGAATCCACCAGGTAAAATTATTTAAATAAAAAGCGATATATTAGAAATAACAAAAAAAGGATGCCGGCCTAAAACGCAAACTTTGGAATAATAAAAAAAAGTGTTTAATTAAATAATCAAGGTAGAAATTTGAAAAATCAGATACTCGGTGGCATTTTATTTACTTTACTGCGGTTAAAATTTTTAATTTTAATAATTGTTTTTTACGATTGTCTCCAGCTGCGGATTTAATAAAAATAATTTAAAATATTGTGAAATGTGTCAACGCGGCTCACAAATGCAATCGCCGCTGCAGGGTCCGTGATAAGAGCCCGAAGTTCAAGTCCACATGACACATGTGCGTAAATAGGTTTTTTTTCTTGCTGGAATTATTGAATTAGTGACCGCGAAAAACTGCTAATAATTTTTTCATACATAAAAACTAAATGTGAACTTTGATATAACAAAATATTTATGCACTTCATAGAAACCATAAATATTACTTTTAAAAGTTCTATTTGGAGTTGCTAAAATATTCATTCTTATTAGAATAAATAATATACTTATTTAGTCAATATTATGTGACTTCATGATCAGGAACATAACATTTGTTTGGCCCAAAGACCAGTGACGCGTTTGACTGCATTTCTATAATAACGACCTCCCACGTCGCACTACGCTTTTGCATTAAAAGCAAAATTATCTTTCTATCATATTTCGCTTTAATTTTAATTTTTATAAAATACATTCTTTTACTTTCTAAGAAAATATAAACAAATCAAGCCGAAAGGTGTTGGAATGCTAAATAAGTGACTGGAGTTGAGCGGCGACCAGAACTTACGAAACTTCAATTTTCTCTTTTTCCTTCGTATCGATTTTGAAGTACTTTTTGTCGTCTGTCTTGTCAGGTCGTCTGTCTTGTCAGGTCGTCTGTCTTGAAACTCTTCTCATAACTATATGAACTATAAAGATGGAAGATGGAATATCTCCGCATACATGCTTTATTTACCGTATACATGCTTGTATTTAGTTTCCAAACATTTCCACAGAATTTATCTCTGCAGACAACCGCCTTCTTCAAATCTCTTGACTTGACATGTGTCTTTTATAAATAGAAAGCATCATTTTTATATAAGAAAGAAACTAAAACAATCTACACTCGGTATAGATATAGGTATAAGCTATGATCCAAAGGTAGGCGCATAGCAACACAACCATTAAATAAATTTCTGATGTTTACTTTATATATACGTATACATATGTATATGTTCTTTAAATTTCGTGAGCACTTGTGATATATTTTATGTTAATCTACACATGGCTTTAAAATCATATTTCAATTGCTATTAGTCATAAAAGACTAAATATATATATGTATATATTTCGTTGTGTGGGTATATATGTATGATATGCATATTTCTTAAAGATTTTATATAACAATATATAAATATAACGGTTATATTTTGATGAATAGAGTTTTTCCTAAATTCCTATCACTAATTTTATGTATTTATGAACATTGTAGCAAGCAAGACCATAGTCAACGTTCGGCACAATAAGTCATTGAGAAATTAAATTCACACCCAAAGCATGTATACAACTGTGTTACAGATATTCCGACACAGTCTATCCTATTGTTTTGCGTCCCTGTTTGGAGCGGTGTGTCTCACTTTGGTTGTGTAGTAACCCGTACAGATCTATAAGAAGGAAATTACAAATACGAGGACATGGATTGGGATATAGTTGGGTAAAGGAAGTGTAATGAAAGAGGGAATTGTTTGTGAACAAAAGTGGATTAGGTATGGGTGGTATTTTAGTGTTCAAAGTTATAGGATTGGTCGGGCATATGTTCTGTGTAACCACTTGTAAGGCAGTGGGTGGTTCCGAAACGCAGAACCGGATGCTCTTGACATCTTAATAAAAACACAGTATTATTTAGCAGTTGTTTGGCAATTTCAAGGAACCAAAAACGTTTTCCGTTTAATTTGTTTTCACCATTCCCTATTATTAAGACCTTAAGTAAGTTTCGTCTCTCTGTGGACGGACTACCACAGTAATTTATGAATTATACCATAAATAGAAAATCAACTTTCTTCAGTTTTATTTATATTATTAATCTCAATAATTTTACCGAATAAAATTTAAAAAAAATTTTGTTAACTCCGTATAAATATTTAATCCTTTTTTTAATTTAGGATCTTAATTTCTACTTCTAAAGTTTTTGTAATAAAATAAAAAAATTGTGCGAATCTTGTTAATTCAAAAACTAACAAAAATATAAACATTCTAATGATAGAGCATATACTTTTTAGAGAAGATCAATCAATCGCATAATTAACAAATCGTGTATATCACTCTTTAACTCTTTAGTTCTCATCTATGATGAGTGGACCAAATTAAATGTATTACAAATATTTTTCCCTATTGTTATTAATAATAACAATTAATATTGTTATTAATAATGTAATTGTATATTATTAACAATCGAAGCAAGTCGTCAGTAGGAAAGTCGTCAGTGGGATCAACTATGATATCCTGCGGCATAAGAGATCCATTTTGCATAAGCATATACCCCATAATCTTAAATTTTTAATTTGTCATTTAAATCACCTAATAACGCAAATTTTAAATGAGTATATCAATTTGACTAAATTTTTGTCACATTTTTGAATTTCTACCTGATAAAGTTTCTTATCAAGTCTGATAACAAATCTTACCAACCTGGCATATCAGTCTTTTGTTCCCCTTAAATGGCGCCAATTCAAGAATAGAAAACGTTTTAGATGACTAGAAGAATTTGTTTACCTGTATAATTCGTAAGCGAGAGCTGAAAGCTGAAATGTTTACAAAAGCAGAGAAATAATATTGTATATAATACATACAACAATACAAAGCGATAATACATCTTCACTATATTGAGATATCTTTAAGTATTATCTTAAAGCCCTTCTACTCTAGTAATTAGTCCAGATAAAATATGTTGAAACTTTATAAAGCATTCAAACTATTGTTCGAACCAATGATTATTCTAAGGTAAAATTTTAGATCTTTAATTGTTTCGCTAAAGCATTCTTGATATGAAGGTTACTAAAATTTTAAATAATTTTTAAACAAACAATCCAAGCACTCCCAAAATAAATTACACGTACACTGAAAAGTCGTTGTTGAAGAAAAAGAAAACGAATGAATTACGAGTGAGTGAATGCTTGAATCTAAAAGCGATTTGTTGTCAGAAAAAAAAGAGTGTAGATTGAATGCTTGCGCCTAAAAGTGAATTCTAAGCGTTTGTTAGGAATCTGAATGAAAGCAGCAAATGAAAAATTAATTAGTTTTTAATTTAAAAGGCGAAGATTATGTGTTCCAATTCTGGAATGGATGGTACATTATATTTTTTTAATAGTTGATTTAAAGGTCATTTGAAATCTAACCTGAATAAAATATATTTTTTTAATAATTTTTAAGAAAATTTATCTACTCCCTTATCTTGATACTAGTGACAATAATTAATTATTACTCTGATAAAATAGAGTAAACTTTTTTTGTAAAATAAATAGCTTTGACGTTATAATAGATTAAAGTTTGTACTATTATAAGTTTGTTATCTCAATCGCAAAAAACATTTAAAGAACTTTCTCTTTAGGAGAATATCTCCTAATGTTGAAAAAATACTATAAATTCAAAATAAGATTTTTCAAATGATCTGTGTCAGATGGAATTAGTTAGTGCTCAGTTGCATCTTATGATTCTAAAAATTCACTAGCAAGCACCAATATTGGTTCACGTTTGACTCCAAATGTGTGAGCTATATTAAGATGAATGGCATATGCCAAACATAAATGCTAGAATAAACAAAAACTCTATACATATGAATTTTATTTAATTTAGTTTCTTAGTGAAAAAAAAAATAAATTATCGTAAATAGCACAGCGATTAACGAAATTTGTTGTTTACATTAAGAATTTTTGAGTGAAGATGGCTGAAATGACCTCGTGTAGGCGAAAATATACATTCAACGCAAAAGTGAATGTATTTATAATTAATAAGTGTAGATTTGTACAAATATTGCATATAAACACTACACATTGAAATTGTTTTTTTCTTCAATTTTTATATTAAAAATATTTTCATTTACTTGCAATACACTTACTTGGTATTAATAGACTTTTTGCAGATTTTTTCTCGTAACCTGATCCAATAAGTTAATGCCAAGATATGAAAAATCAAGGTGATCTCACATATCAATATGTGTATATGTTTAGTAATTAACCGAATAAGATCCATAATCTTTCACGTAAAGATATTGTTAGGTTTATCAATAGCTTTGAATTGTCCATGGTTGTGTAGAAGACCTTCTTTAAGAATATCTTAAAAGTTACAGTGTACTAGAGTGCCTTTAAATGATTATATAAGTATCTTTGATAAAGGGTGAGAACATAGTATTTTATAATTTTGTGAAGTATTATATTAGGTCCGTTTCACGAGCTACCCATACTAACTTTGAGTAACACTGTGTCTACACAAGTGCGTTCCACCAGCAAGTTTTCGTGTATTTTCCTACAAATTTTAGTTGAGTTTTACTATGAGTAGCTCGTGGAACAGACCTAATGTTAATGTAGAGTAGAAGAAAGGCGCTCAAATTGTGCGACTGCATCTTTTTCTTATAGAGTCCAGAACAAGAAATTTTGAGGGATTACCACAGTTATCTTCTTTAAGAAATCTTAATCAACAACTTGAGTTCTTGTAAAGTATTCAATAGTACTATGATTATGTGAACATTCAGTATCCATTGAATATGGATATTGTAGTAAAACGGTATATGTTAAAAAAACCTCTTACAGAAAAGTTTGTAAATTAATAACACATGCAAAAACTATTTATTTTTATAGGAACAAGTGGTTTCCTAAGAATAAGTGTAAATCATAAGGTTGTCTAGTGTTTTTTTTTTGTTAGACTTAATCCTGTATTACCTATATACCTACCACCCTAAATAACTGCACGTAAGTGACTGAAATGTATGTGGAACACACTATAA